TGGCTTAATATAACCCCAACGGACCGTATTTTTGTGAAATATTTGATATTTTTGTCCTGATTTGTAGGAATCTTGAAAAACACGTTTCACAACTTGTCTCCTATTTAGTTTTATGCGTCATTCAAGATGGCGGCCCCCATATAGTAAATATCATATTTATTTTATTATCACATGTGCGCCAGCTGACTGTGACACAAACACACATAAACACGCGCGTGCGCAAATATACACATACGCATGCATGCATGCATGCATGCATGCATGTATGCACAGACTCGAATAAGTATCAAAGCAATTGAGCTGGTAGTTTTTAATAAGTTGAAAATAGAATTGTTGACTGACGACAAACTATTGCCAATATGAACAACATTGCATCTTTGATGAAGGTAACAAAGATGACAGGAGCTAAAAACATGAACACAAAAACTGTCAAGGAAAAATACAGAAATATTATAGTAATAATTTGCATTACATGTAATAAAGGGACAGAACAGAAATAATTGCTATAAAAATTGGTAAAGATGTCAGCTTCATTTAGGATTTTCTTCTTTCGTGGCAGGTTTTATGCAGTATCAACGACACAAGCCTCAATAAAATCATTCAATTAGTGCACCCTCACACAACCATATTGGATTTTTCAATAAGTTTTTTTTAATTCAACCATAATTTCATACCTGTAAGGTGAAACGTAAAAAGTAATGTGTGAATTCTTATCAATGATTTCAAACTTTTTCCTATAAGAATTACATGGCGAAAGGTTACAATTTTAATAATGGCTGTGAGAGGTCTAAATTGCAACCAAACGCCATAGAATGCATTAAATCACAAATAAACTAAACTAAATATACAACAATACACTGCTACAAATCTACATATTTCAATAATTTTATCTTCTCATATATTTTCCATAAACGATAACATTCAACATATATTACTATATCCAATAATTTAAGGCATCTAATAAAGTTCCTTTTTACTTATAGTAAGGGGCAGATTTATGTTTTTTATTTGTTTGTTTTTTAACCTTTGACCTGTCAACCATGATGGGTTTACTGAACAAGTGCTTAATTGAACTACAAGTTGATGTGTTGATGTGACACTACTGAAGAATGCATGCAAGTGTAACACTGAACTTGGAAAGAAGCGAGAATAATATAGTAGTAGTATACTTCAAAATAATGTAGACAGCTTTTTCAACAATCCTTCAACAATTGTTCTTGTTGAGTGGCAAATATATATATATATATTTCATGACAAAAATTGGTTATAAGTTAACACAAAGTTTTAGACTATTCTGTGGCAACTGTAGACATCATCTCTGAACACCAATGACGAAATGCTATTGTGTAATTTTGAACAACATTCCAAGTGACGTTTAAGCCATCAGAAATGGATTCTTGAGAAAGTTTCCCCCTGAAAAACAAAAAAAAACAGATTGATAAGGTTTATATCTTTAAAAATGCATCAATCTTTGCAAAACTGAAAATAATTTATTTCAAGACATCAGCATATAAAATCTGTGCATATCATAATGAAGTATGTTTCAGAGTAATTACAATATCACAGTGATAAAATAAACTGCTATAAGAAGAAGTTTTATTTTTATCTTTTATTTTATATATGTAAAAACATTTAATTTTGTAAACAATAATTTTTAAATAAATAAATGCAAAGTTTTGTAGCAGTGAAATGTAACTAAGATCATTAAAGTGTAGGAGTGTATTTTACATATATTATGTATGTTGCATAGAACTAAACTCGAAAGTGATGCAAAATGAGAAAAGCGATGCTGTAATTTCATTAGTTCTTATGATTTTTGCACAATTACTCATGTGCTTAATAATATTGAAATGAAAAGACTTCCCACAATGTACATTCAATAAACGAGACTACAATTCCAAATCGTACGACATGTGAATCGGTACGAAAAATACACTTCAAATACTCACACAAAGACGTTTTCCTGTAACCACGTTCCTGTCGTATGCAGATATGGCGACACGTTGTTCCAAAGCAACGTTATATAATAAACCAAAAACAACCAAGCTTCTGAAACATAATATCGCACTGATGCCAAAACTATTGGTATCCACTCTTCAATCTAAAAATGCAAAATAAAAAATCGAATTTCAGCCACAATCTACAATTCAATGTTTTGATAATTTCAGTATCGTAATAATACTTGGTAAAATGTTGTTATCGTCATGTCAACATGCACATACACTATTTGGTCCAATAAAAATCCATAAAACCAAACATTAGAGCTAATACGGTGATTATTCTTTTTGAATTGTGACCAACAAATATATCACTGAAATGAACAATACAACTGTCCAACTTCACAGTCACTGTACTAATAATTTGGGTATTACTAATAACAAGATTGCGAGATGATTTTTCATCTGTCACAGAAAACCATGGAATCTCATAATAGTGAACAAAGCAAAGGCATCAGTAAGCCAGAGAAAGTCAGGATAACTAAGCTTTCAAGTGCTACGGCTCAGCACACATTCAAACTTCATAGAAATCACATTTTTACAGAAATTGTACAAGTCACATGGAACTGATATCAACTGACTTGCCACAAATATGGTGCTTGCAGCTTGCGAACATTTTCATTGGGGAACATCAAACACTTTACAGTACACTGAATCTGCATGTTTGTTTTTAAACTTTTGAAAATGTTGTGTTCTTGTTAATTTCTGTTGTTGAGAGCTGCATATACCCTACCCAGTCAGCATCCTAAAGCTGAAATTCTTTGAGACATTCTCAGGTTTTGTTTTTTGATCAGTCTTATGATTAACTGTGAAATACCCACATAATTACACTAAATGCACAATGATTCTGTAGTATACTGACCCACGCCAAAACCAGGGGTATTTTTTCATCTATCCATTGCCGCTGAGGTTTCGTCACTTCTGCGAGATATACCCCAGCTTGGTAAAGTTTTTCCCACAGCAACTGCAGATAAGGCTCTGAAAACTCACAAGCTTTTGAATAATAGTATGGAATGTTGTCTTTCATCCAACTGTAAAACAAATAACACAATTTCAGTTATTCTTTGAATTTATTCAAATCTGGGCTTTTGACATGCATATGTCGTCCAAGATATGTTTTGTATTTGTGAAGTTTGAAAGTGATTGGACCAGACATAACCGAAATACAGGTAGAACGCATAGACTTACAAGACACAAGTCCTTGTTTTAGGACATGCGAAAAATGAAACTATTGATGACTTAGTTGACCTCAAAAAAATAAACTGGAAAAATCATGATCATTAACCGTAAAAGAATTAGCAAAACTGGTTTTAAATTGTCAAATTTAAATTGCAGTGTTTTTCAGACATTAAAATCGCATATTTAGTAATTTTAAAAGCCTTAAAAACAACTAAGCAGAGCTCTGACTTTTTTTAAGTGGGAAATCCTGATAAACACTTACATATTTGCTTTGGCTGAATACAGAGTAACTTTATTCCAAGCCTGCACAGACGCCGTCTTGACACCACTTTCTTCTAAAAATAAATCTGTCTTGGAACCATGGAAACCTCGATATCTGTAAATGTCATATGTTACCAAGGCAACCATTCCTGTCATCAGTAACAACACCATGTATTTCCATGGAAACTTGGCTGCAGTCATTTTGGCCATCAATTCCTAATGGGATACAAATCATCAAGTGAGTGCAATTCTAGGTAGGCTAAGTGTGCTTCTCAAGTGAACAAGGCGACTTTTATCAGAAAGCTAGGTGTGTTTTCACAATTTACTGATGCTTTAATTACCATAAGAATACTGTAAATCATTGGTCATTAAAACATGACCTGATATTTAAAAGTAACAGGCTTTGTTCAGCCAATCACCAAGTGTTACAAACAGGTGTGGCCTACAGATAAGGAATACTGCTTTCTGATTGGATACTCAGATACCAGGTGGCCAATATACATGTAAAATAAAAAGCACTGGCACTTCACAGCATTATTAACTGATACTCAGTGTTGGACATTATTTGAGATTCCTGAATTTGGGGTCAAAGTTCACTTTAAACAACTAAGTCAATTTCAGCTGTTGAATTTCAGCAATTACACATTACATGATTTGATTGGTTGAAAAAAAACTGTCAACAAACAAGCTTCTCTCTGATTGGTGGGTCCAAGATGAACAAATGTACGTGTATAAATATTACAGCTAAATATTGAAATGCAGGAATGTTTGGGGAAGCGAACATCCAAATGAATGTCAAAACCCTGATGCAAAAAGAAAATCCTGATTGAAAAATATAGTATGGCTACAAGTCCAAAAAAAAATTATGTCAGACAAGTAGGCAGGCAGGTCAATTTTTTTTATTATTAATTTGTTTAATTACGTGGCTGATTAGTTAATTAGTCATTCTGGGTGACAGTCGGTGTCATCCAAGGCTCATTGAAATCTTGTATGATTTTTATAATTTTTTTTTTTTAGGTGTGGTCAAAAATAAGGGTAAGTAAGTAGTAAGTATAAGTAATAAGTTCTAGGAACCTCGTATTTTTTTGTTTGACCTGATCAATGTTGACCACAAAAACTGGTACTCCTCCAACGAAATATTAAACTATTCAGTTATGTTGGAATCTTTTTAAAAAATGTGTGATTATCTTCTTCACAGACTGAACAAATGTTCGCAAATGCAATGTTACAACGATCAAATAAATTCACCATAAATCACAGTGGCTTGATAATGCTATAACACTGTAAACAAATGAAATATTTGTTTCTGTCAGAACATTTCAAGTTTTTCAAATAATTTGTTCCAACATTTACATAGAATAGTGTAGTTCATATTTTTTTGTTTTTACCTTGGTGCAAAGTTATTTAAATTTGTTGAAATCAATACTGTTGTTACCTTACAGACTCTCTGACATTGGTTCAGATATGGCGTCTGGTTCGATTTCCCAGTCAGCTCGTCGTTGGTCACGCTGAATGCCCGTACAGTGTCCCGCAACGTGTTCAATGGTAACTATGAAAACAACAATAAATCATTAAGTTTAAATAAAACCAGTTAAGTACACATTAATTGGGGGGGTGACGGACGGACGGACGGACGAACGAAGGGAGGGAATAAGGATGTATGTAGGATTTCTACATAGACAGACTACATGTGGTGAGGTTGGGATTGAAGTTTACCACAGACCTTTCAAAATCCCCGCTGAGCACACTGTTTGTTCAATTTCTTTCATGCACAGAGCAATGTTTGATGCTTTGTTTTTAAATTGGTTTGTGTCAAACAATATTTCTAACATTTTTTTGTTTTTTGGTGGTAATTGCTAGAGCAAACCAGTTACAACTGGATACGGTGTTTTTGAAGGCAGGGCAAACTGTACTCTATAAAGCTGAATCAGTGGGCTTTATGGCAAACAAACCCACCCACCCAACCACAAGTAGGACATAATTAATCACCATATTTTTACCTGTTCGATTTTTAGCGAATTTGATCTATTACAGACTTGATATTGCTTGTACAGAGTTTGAAAAATTGAAAATTTTTCACTGGGATACATCTTTTAGAAGAAAAAATTAACCTCAGTGTGAAAACAGTTGAAAACGTCAGTGAATGGACAAGAACAAACCTTGTTTGAGATTGTATTCCAAGTGAGCAGCAAGTGGTTCATCAGAACGTTAGACTGTTCCATATGAGAAGTGTACATCTGACACCAAACACTAAAACAATGAGGATCCGTTGACAAGCACATCGATAAACAAGTTAACAACTACGAAAGAAATAAACACAATTATACATCAGGCAGTGAAAATACAATCACATTCATCTGGGAAATGCTGTACGATTGCATTTGAATGTTCTATCTCCTTGTTTGAAAAATGTCACATTTGAACATTTTCCTTTAACATCCAACACAGCAACAATGTAGTACCCAAAGTCATTTTGAAAAGACACTATATTAAATAATAATTATATATGATAAGATAAATGTCACTTATTATAATTATATAATTAATTAATATACACAAAGCATTCTACTTAAACTCACCTCGGTTTTTAAAGCCTGCGGACAGTTGACTGTAGCTCTTGCAAGCAATGATGGAAAATAATTCCTCAAATTAGTCGATGGATCCTTACCAAATGCCAATTCCTGAATCGAATATCAGAATAACTTATTAGCCAATCAAAACACTACATACCCAGTGTATCTTCCTGATTTTGAATGCAGACACAGCAGCCATTCTGAACAATGTTGCCCGCATACACCTGACAGCAGCCATTTTGAATGCAGTTGCTCAAGGCAGCAGCCATTTTGAATGATGTTGCCCTGATTCATCAACAATTTTAAATACTGTTGCTCAACACAGCAGCCATTTTGAATGATGTTTCCAGATACAGCAGCCATTTTGAATGCTGTTGCCCAGATTTATCAACCATTTTGAATACTGTTGCTCAACGCAGCAGCCATTTTGAATACTGTTGCCCAGATTCATCAACCAGTTTAAAGATTGTTGCTCAACGCAGCAGCCATTTTGAATACTGTTGCCCAGATTCATCAACCAGTTTAAAGATTGTTGCTCAACGCAGCAGCCATTTTGAATGATGTTGCCCAGATACAGCAGCCATTTTGAATGTTTTCCGGATACAGCAACCATTTTGAGTGTTGTTGCCCAGATACACCCACCATTGTGAATGCTGTTGCCGGGATACACCCGGCATTTTGAATGATGTTCTCTGTACAAACAAGCCACTGTGAAAGCTGTTCTCTGGACATACCAGCAATTTTTAATGCTGTGTCTGAACACAGCAGTCATTTTGAATGTGTTGTCCAGTCAAAACAGCCATATTAAATGCTGTTGCCTAGATACTAAACCATGTTGTCTGGATACGGTAGTCATTTGAAATGCCATTGTCTGGATACGACAGTCATTTGAAATGCCATTGTCTGGATACAACAGTCATTTGAAATGCCATTGTCTGGATATGACAGTCATTTGGAATACCATTGTCTGGATATGACAGTCATTTGGAATGACATTGTCTGTATACGACAGTCATTTGGAATGCCATTGTCTGGATACAACAGTCATTTGAAATGCCATTGTCTGGATACGACAGTCATTTGAAATGCCATTGTCTGGATACAACAGTCATTTGAAATGCCATTGTCTGGATATGACAGTCATTTGGAATACCATTGTCTGGATATGACAGTCATTTGGAATGACATTGTCTGTATACGACAGTCATTTGGAATGCCATTGTCTGGATACAACAGTCATTTGAAATGCCATTGTCTGGATATGACAATCATTTGAAATGCCATTGTCTGGATATGACAGTCATTTGGAATGCCATTGTCTGGATATGACAGTCATTTGAAAAGTCATTGTCTCTATACG